GCCAGCTGCCACCTGGCACTCGCTGCTGCCCGGCCCGCGACGCGTTCCCCGCAGGGGTGTGTTAGGGGAGCCCTCTCTCCGACCCTCGACATGGTTATCAAAGTGTTCGTGGCCACGTCTTCCGGGTCCATAGCGGTAGGTGCGGGGGTCTCAAGGGGGCGGGTTGGCCTGTTTGCGTGGTGTTGACAAAAGTATGCAAGAAAATGTGTGACCCGGACAGGTGGGTGTGAGAGCGGGTTGGAGGGAGGAGGAGGGTTTGATGATGGAGTTTTTAACGCGCGACTTGGGTGGCATGGCTGTTGCATGCACGTTTTATGGAATCACGGACTTTTTTAGTGTCTCCACCATTCATTCTGCAAGACTTAGACTGATTTAAAGTTGACGGAGGGAGGGGAGGAAGAAGAATCGAGATGTGTTGTGTACACGTGCCGACTCCCCACGATGAATCTAAACATCATTACGTGCCGCCACACGTGCTAATAGTTTTTTTTTTTTTTTAAATTGGCGTGACTCAGTTTGGACAGCGCAACGAAGGACCTCGCTGAAATGCCTCTGGGGTGAAGTCCCTCCGTGCCCACCGGGGCCCGCTAGAAAGCCTGCAGCTGGCAGGTGTAACGCTATTATTTGAGGGAAATGATGTCACGGGGACAAGAGCAAGTGTTTCTGAGGCCACAGTTTCAGAGTTTTGGAATCCAGACAGCCCCCAAATAGGGAGGAAAAGCCAGCGTCCCACCTCAGCCCCGGGGTAGACCTGCCTGGAGAAGGGAGGGTGACATCTCTCCTTCCTCCTGGGAAGCCCTGCAGGCTTAGGGTTTGGGCTGGAGCGGCTGCCTAGGGCTGGTGTTTTGATTCACTTTTTAGCAGACGCCAGGAAAGTGGTGAATAGAAAGCTCCTTATTAATCTCAAGACCAGAGAGGGGCTGTTTCCTTTTATATCCAGTTCCTGGAGGCTCTCGGGTTGCTGCTGCTCGGATTTCAGCAATCACTCAGCAGACAGAAAGGGTTTGGGCGGGGGCGGAGAAAACAGCTTGTGATACTTTGAGATCACAGCTGCTCCGGGAGCAGGTTTGAGACGGAAAAAAGGAGCAGCTCTGCAAATGCGAAATCCCAGACGTAAACCTTCCCTGGTGGCGCCTTTCCGCGGATCTTTCGGTGGATCTGTGATGAGCATGTTTTTGTTTGTTCATTTTTGTCAGGCTGGGGTTGGACCCCGGGCCTCATGAATGAGGGGCAAGAGCTCTGTCACTGAACTACATCCCCAGCCTAGGAGCCCATTGGTGAGATCACAAAATATTGCTTTGAGGAAAATGGCTCTGTTAGGCTTATATGTGAACACTCAGCACGGAAAACTTTCAGCACTTTTTGCCGATCCTCTGTGTGTTCTGCAGGCTGGGTCTGTGTGATCGGGCCGGTCACACAGCAAGGGATACATTTATAGATTTCTTAGGTTTCTTCGAATCTTACACCCGTGAAGTTTGGAGGCATTGTTTTAAAAATATTCACTTGTCTGGAGACAGTCTCTCACTGTGTAGCCGAGGGCGGTCTTGAACTTGCTGGGATCCTCCTGCCTCAGCCTCCCAGTGGGTGGCAGGCGTGCGCCCCCATACCCAGCTCTGGGAGCATCCTTGGCTCTGGCTTGGAGGAGCTGGAGCGGTGCCATCATCCCAGGGTCTCTGGAGAGCCAGGCTCACTGGGTGCCTGAGGCAAATGTTCCAGCGCCCCAAAACTGTGTGACCTCGGGAAAGGTATTTCACCTTGTCGGCAGCCTCAATTGCCGTGTCTGTAAAATGAGGCTAAGAATAGCGCCTGCCTCATAGATCTGTCATGAGGACTTCTGAAATAACACCCCCCCCTGCCCGGGCCTGGCACAGGATCAGACACCCGATCAGTGCTTGGAAAGCCTTGTGACCCATCAGCTAATGCTCTCACGACCAGTGGCGGTCCATTAGCTTTGGTTGCTACCAGCATTTTGGTAATGATTAATGCTAATTAATACTGCGGTGGTGAGAATGCCCCGTTACTATGAGTTAGTAGTGAATACTGTACCCATGAGTGCAGTGTGTTGGAACTGTGCAAGCGACTTCGGGTCTCATCCCAGAGTGACGTCGGTACCCCCTGTCGATGCTGATGGCTTTTCTGCAGGGGAATTTCCTCCAGACCTGGGCGGAAAAACCTCACCGCTAATACTGTCCACGTGGTGGTGGTCAGCAAAGCCAGCCTGCCTGTCTCCCTCCTGCCTCCCTCCCTTCCTGCCTTCCTTGCTTTCTTTGACACAGGGTTGTAGTATGTGGTTTAGGCTGGTCTTGAACTCACTATGGATGAATGAAATAAATGAAAAAGCAGCCGTGAACGGTCACCTCTAGGAGCTGCTGAGTCCACGTGGTGGCCTACCACAGTTCTACTTCACCGGTTGTCTCCACTCTGAAGGGGTTGGGTTAAGGTACCTTTCTTTTCGTATGATCCAGAAGCCCAGTGCCACAGTGGGGCGTGGGACAGAGGGAGAGGGCACAGCGCTGGGACCAGGGCAGACCCTGGTGGGGGCCCGGATGTCTCAGGTCCTTGTCCGTCTCCGTGGACATCAGGGATCACAATAACTCGACTCCTTCAAGATCCTGGAATGAATAGAAAAACAGGACTTTTAAATTGGATTGGTCTGGACTCAAAATCCTGGCAAATTCACTCACTGGGGCGCTGGGGTTGTTGTTTTATTTTATTTTTAAATATTTATTTATTTCTGTAATCCGGAGGATTAAACTCAGGGGCTTTACACTGAGCGGCACCCCCACTGCTCTTTTGAGACAAGGTCTTGCTAGATAGCCCAGGCTGGCCTCAGATTTCAGGTGATCCTCCTGCTTCAGCCTCCTGAGTGCTAGGATTACACGAGTGCCTGCCTCTCCGGGCAGGCACCAGCTTTCTGAGCTGGGAGAAAATGCAGATCGCCTGTGACCAGAGCCAGTGTGCCTTGCACTACACCTGGTGACGTCGGTGGGAGAGCTCTGAACTGAACAGCAGGATAGGCAGGAGGTGCCCAGCCAGTGGCACTGCGGTCAGGCCATTCTGATGATGGCGGAGACCAGGCATAAAGGTGGCGGGGGAGGAAGGCCTAGCTCCCAGGGACACTCCCCAGAGTCCCAAGGCTCGGAAGGATGACCCAGACCCTGGGCGTCCCCGGGTGCTGTGCACAGGTCCCTGGGGTGTGTGTCCCTGGGGGTGTGGAGAAGGGACTCAACCTGGGACTCTGGGGAGGAGGTCCCTGCCTGGGGCACCGGCCCCTCATCCCCTCCCAGTGTAAATGGCATCTGGGGAGTCCACGGGCACATGTGGCCTTTTCTTTCTCGTGAGGTGGGGGAAGCAGTTACGTCAGTGGTCTGCGTCTGCCAGTGCCGGCCTTTACCTCACCGGCAGGTGCCTGCTCGCTGTTGTTCTGTCCCTTTTCCTTTCCTTCTTTCCTCTTTCTCTTTCTCTCTCCTCCGCCTTTCTTCCCCTTCTCTTTTTCCTTCTTGTTCTTTTTCTGGAGACAGGATTTTACTATGTAGCCTAGGTTGGCGTCAAACTCAGTGTGACAGCGATCCTCCTGCCTCAGCCTCCTGAGTGCTGGGACTACAGGTGTGCGCCACCACGCCCGCGTAGTTTTCCTTGCGTTGTCCATGAGTTATTGATGGATTATTCATTTTGGCAAGAATTAATGATTTTTTCCATTCTGCTTTCTCCTTCCTCCCCGCTCCCTCTCTCCCTCTTCCTCTCCCTCTCTCTCCCCACCTCTCTCCTGTACAGAGATCTCCTAAGAAAGAATTTTGAAGTAGACCGAAAAGGGTCTGAATCTCAGCACTAAATCTAGGACGAGCTTGTAACTTTGGCAGCATTTATTTTAAACTGTCAAAGTTCGGTCTTTCTGCTGACAATCGGCCACATGAAAATGATACTCGGCCCTCGTGCCTGTGAGACATTTTTAAAGACTTATTTTCATTATGGCACAATATTCAATTCAGAGCAATTAAAAAAAAATTGGATTGAGGGTATTTTTCATGTCAAATCAAAAAGTTATTTAAGTCTTTAATCTTACTTTAAAAGATGGCCATGGCTGGGGATTTAGCTCAGTGGCACCACATCTGCCTGGAAAGCTCAAGGTCCTGAGTTCGATCTCTGTTACAAAAAAAAAAAAAAAAAAAAAAAGACTATATTTATACCTCTATCATTCTTAGTGTGTTCTGTATCTGCATCACACAAATAAGTTCTGTGCTTTGATTCAATCACATGAGCAGTCTAAACTCTTTGGTACAATGTCTCTTGCAGGGTGTAGAATTGATAAATAACTTTGATCAATATCTGATTGATTATACTTCCTGAAAGTTTCTCTCTGAGTTTTCAAAAAACAGAAGCCAGAGAGTCTGCTATAATTTGTTTACCAGTGTTTTTAAGAGAAAAGCTGGAGCTGGGGATTCAGCTCAGTGGTTCCGCCGCAAGTGCAAGTTCCTCGCAAGTGCAAGGTCCCAAGTTCGATCCCCGGTACAAAAAAAAAAAGAAAGAAAAGAAAAGCTGGAGCCAGGACATGTGACACAGGCCTACAATCCCAGCACTCTAGGAGGCTGAGGCAGAAGGATTGCAAGTCTGCGCCCGGCCTAGGTGACTTAGTGAGACCTGTCTCAAAATAAAAAAGGGCGGGGTGTGTAGCTCAGTGTGAAGGCCCTGAGTTCAATCTCTGGTACTGGAGGCGGAGTGCAGAAGGCATCACACACAGTGCCTCTGGGTCTCCGGTGCTATTTCTGCAGCTCCTTTCAGCTCTGTGTCACTCACACTGCTATTTCTGGAACTTTGAACGAAATGCATTTTAGCATGGGGTGCTCGGTGTGCGAATTTTGTAGCGAATTCTTTTTTTTCCCTCTTCTCCCTTTTCTGTACACCAGATCTCTTGCCAACTAGTTCTTGGTTTTTTGGCCATTAAAGCTTTGAATTATAAATCTTTTAAATACCCCAAATAAAAGATAACGAAGGCACCTGTATTTCGATTAGGTTACTTAGGAAAATGTTTTAAACACCGGTGATATTAAATCTCAGAGTTTAAAGTCACTGTCCATCATTTATAACTAAGCGTGATTTTATTGCTGTCCTTGTTTGAATCTTTTACAGAATTATTGGTACTGTGTGTTATAGCCAGAGGAAGGATTTATGTGCAAAACGCCCCCCCATGAACATCCTAACGGTTATTTTTTTCTCTGCTCCTGACCAGATTAGGAAGAAACAGCAGGAAGTGGTGGGTTTTTTGGAAGCTAACAAAATCGACTTCAAGGAGCTAGATATAGCTGGTGATGAAGACAACAGGAGGTGGATGAGAGAGAATGTTCCCGGGACGAATAAGCCTCAGAATGGTATCCCGCTGCCGCCCCAGATCTTCAATGAGGAGCAGTACTGCGGGGTGAGTGGCCTGGTGGGAGCCCTGTGTGTGCGCCTGTGTCGGGAATCTTGGGGGCAGATTAACCGTGAAACCCCATATGAAACTGTCCCCATCTTTCTGGGTGTCCAGACAGCTGTTAGGGCTCCCTTGTCTTCAGTAACAGAGTCTTAAGTTGCAGAGGGGCGGAAACAGGAACACAATGATTCAGAAGTCGTTCAGCTTGGGTATCTTTGGTTCCTTGCTTTATTTTTTATTTTTCCTTGCTTTATTTTGAAGAATCAAATCTCTTGTTCAGCAAAACTCACGTTCAGTTAGAAAGGGATTCTGTTCAGCTGTGTCACGGGCACACTTGGCCATGCGAGTGGACATGCGGTCAATTTCCTCTGTGGCCAAGTTGCCTTTGCAGAAAGGGAGATTCTGGCTGGGGATTTAGCTCAGTGGTTCCGCCACCTTCCTCGCAAGCACAAGGACCCAAGTTCGATCCCCGGTACCAAAATTAAAAAAAAAAAAAAAAAAAAAAAAAAAAAAGGAGTACAGAGATTCTAGCACAACACAAGTGTGTGTGAATTTATCTAATTACTGCAAACTATTCCAGGATATTTTGATTTCAACAGCAATTTTGTTTTACACATTCAATAGTTTATTACAGCACAAGGCCACTGTTTCCTCAGAGTTCACAGATGGTGGTTAGAATCAGATTGTTGAAAGAAATGTTCAGGAGGCCGGGGTGGAGCTTGATAAAGCACTCACCTAGCATGCATGAGATTCTGGGTTCAACTCCTAGCAATACTGGAAAGAAATGAAGACATCAAAGGACTTTAAAGTATGAGGACCGGAAGTTATCTTTGGGGTCATTTTTCAGGTGGGGGAATAAGGTCTCTGTAGTTCGATGCCGGCCGTTGTTGAGTGCCGGGACCGGGTGTAGGACTCTAACCCCCCAGGCCCTAGTTATTTTCTCATTGTACAGAACTGTGTATTCCTTGACATGGCTTTTATTGATTATTACACTTTTTATCTAACGCACCTGTCATCAGCGTGTGTGGGCCAAAGCCTGCCCCTGCTGCTGTAGTCAGTAAAATGCCTGGGACAAAGCCACAGGAATTCTTTTACCCATGCCTGGGGCTCCTTCACAGCAGGCAGAGGCCAGTAGTTTGCACACGTGGGCGAAGCCAAAAGCACTGGTTCCTGCTGGAGGTTCTGGGGGAGAGTCTGTTCCAGCAGCCTGGCCACTCCAGACTCTGCCTCCGTCTCCACATGGTCTCTGTGGCCCTCCTTGGATCAGGAGTCACCCTGTGCCCGTGTGCCTTTAGCTGATTATGTCTGAAAACATCTCACTTCCATAGAAGTTGCTTTCTGATGTTCTGGGTGGACACGGGTACCGGGCACTGTACGGATTTATGGTATGGGGCTGAATGAATTTACTTGGCCGAGTTCTCTTCTGCTTAGCTGAAAGGCGGGTAGGTGTCGGTGTCTTCAGACAATCTTACTGTGACCAGCTCGTGTTTAGGGGGACGTGTGGTTTGATTCCGCTTCCTGTGGTTTTTAACCTGGCCCTCCCTTCCCACAGCCCACTCCTGCCCAGCCTCTACCTGCCTCCCTCCTTCCTCCTTACCTGCATGTCTAACAAACTGAGCCTCCTCTTGGTTAAGGAAAGGGATAAGAAGGTTTTCTTGGGAGGGTGGGGGTGGGGGTGGTAGTGAGGAATTTTGATTTTATTTTTGATGTAAATAATTACTGTCAATTGAAACACGAACAGACTCGCACACTGGAAACGACATGATTCAAAAGGGTCTGCAGGGAAAAGGATTCTGCTCCCATTGCTGACCCTGTCCCGTCCACCCTGTGGAATGTCACGCAGGCCCCTGCTCAGGGAGGCACTGCACCAGGCTTATACTCTCCTTGTCTTGAAATTTTTAGTAGCTTTTAAACCCTGGCCTACCCATTTTCATTCCACATTGGGCCCACAAATTGTAGGCAATTTCTTATTTGGCTTCCAGAGAGTTTCTATGCGTGTTTATGACCTGGTGTCACTCAAAACATGGGTGTGTGCTATAGACTCTCATCTTGTTCATTTGGCCAAAGCATCTTGAGGGCCAGCGATGTAGCTCAGTGGTTCCACCACCTGCCTCGTATGCATGAGGTCCTGAGTTTGATCCTAGGTGTAAGACTTAAGTCTCACTTTTACTCCTGGAGCGTGAACAGCCAAGAGGCCTCCACGATGCTGGGCTCAGAAGCTCAGCGAGGCTCCAGGAGCTTGTCGGACAGCGAGAGTCACCCAGGAAGGAACCCACCAGGCAAGTTGGCTAATAGACCTTTATTAGTCTGGCCAGACGGCACTCCCCAAGCCAAGTAGCTCAGAGAGGCGGCTAGCTCAGAAACAGAGGCCATTTTATATAGGGCTATGGGGGGAGGGTTTACACTCAAAACTTACAGGAAGGGGACAAAGGCAAAGAATCAGTTGATCTGAGCTAGTGGTCATCAAGCTAATGATGCTAATGATCAGCAGATCGATTATCCATTATTCCATTTACAATTTAGATTATAATGTTCAGAACATTCAACTACAGGCAAGTAAGGAGTGGCGTGATTTATGTTGGGTCTCTGTGTTCACTACAGTTTCCATTTAGTTTCCCAGCTACTTCAAAGCAGTTACTTAACAATTCACAATTAATCATTAGTTATTCTATAAGGGGTGGGGGGAGCGACGGTCTCTAGGTTGTTTGCTGGTCAACATGGAGTCGCTCTGGTTCAGTCAGGCTCTTACACTGGGTACAAGAAAAAAATCCCAAATAACTGCATCCTGAGGGCCACTGCATGGCACACGTGCTCCCAATTCGAATGGTGCGGGCATCCCATTGTATAGATCATAAGGTTTCAGTGTCATTCTCTAAAGGAGAGCATTCAAGTCTCAGCCTCCCACCCTTAGGCTGCAGTCGTGTTTATATCTGACTCCAGGCCAGACCAGGAGTCTTCTTGATAAGGCAGGTCTTCGCAGTGAGTGCAGTGTGGGTAAATGAATTCCTACGGGATGTGTGGGATTAAAGCACATTACCCAGGCATCGCACTTTTGCCAGACACTGACTGGTGAGTGGCCTCGTGTGGCCACACCATACATTCCCATCGGTGGGTTTGGGGGTGGCCGGTTCCTGGTGACATCGACAACTTGTGCATGGCACACATTTGGGCCTTTGCCACCTGTTAAATGGACAATGGATTCTCACTGCCTTGACTGGATTTCTTTCCCTGGGTGAAGTTAGATATCTTTTCGGATTCTGTTTATGAGGTACCAGCGTTTCTTCCCCTATGACTTGTCTATGCATGCTCTTTGACATTTTTCGATGGGGCTACAGATGTGTATTGCTTTTGATAGAGAACACTTTAATAGCAAAAACCCTATGAAATATCACCACGTAAAATAACTTCTGCCCTTGCTCTGTTTAGCTCAGAATTAACGGGGATGGGAGGCACCCAGTGTCTCTCAAAAGTTTTGTAAATGAAAAGAACCACTGTGAGCTTTGCTGACCAGACACGCCCCTCCCCCTGGGCTAGAAGAGATAACCAAATGAAGTTTAAAGGTAACCTCCCCTACCAAAGCAGTGCTACATCCGGGTTGAAATTCAATTGCCTGGCCACCACTTTTCGAATGTCAGCAATGTGAACTGTGAAATGCAATGACAGCAAGGCTGTAAAACCCTATATAAGGGGGAGTTGTAGCCCAGTACTGGATCGATCAAGGCACTGCCATTAGGTGTGATCGATCCCCATCGATGGAGTAAACTTTTGTTATTTTATTTCCATTCTGCTGCCTCTCTCTGTGTATAACTTGCCAATTCCTTCCTAACACTTTTAAGAGTTTTTACATATCAGAAAGTAGCCCTTTGACTACCACAGATGTTATAGATATTTTCCCAACCTTTCTTAGGTGTCTTTTGACTATTTATTTATTTTTGTGGTAGCAGGGGTCAAACTCAGGACCTTACATTTACAAGGCAGGCACGGTGCCACTGAGCTGAATCCCTGGCCCGTCTTTTGACTTTTTAAAGGGATATTTTGTGGTAATGTAGAATTTTTGAATTTTTTGTGTGGATAAGTGTGTTAATTATTTCTCTTTTTGGTTCCTGGACTCTGAATCTTGTTTAGAAAAGCTTTCAACACCAAAAGATTAGCAAAAGAATCATTTCACGTTTACTTCTAATACTTTTCCAGTGAAGATAGGATTTCGCATCTCTTCCTTTTGCTTATTTGAACCATCCTTTTAATTTAGGCTAA